ATTTTAAAAAAAAAAAATTTTTTTTTTTTTTTTTTTTTTTTTTTTTTTTTTTTTTTTTTTTTTTTTTTTTTTTTTTTTTTAAGTTATTGAACGTACGTGACCAAACTTCTTGATTCTTCATCCCCTAAATTTGATTCCTTATCGTTTTTCGTTCCAAAATACTTTGGCAATTCTATCAGAGATTCTATGCTGCTCGCGAGAATTTTAAGACAAGATACGGACAGTAGGAGGAACGGCACTATGCTGTATGTTACTATGGTTTGGTAATAGATGACCTATTTTCAGAAAAACAGAATAAAATGAATTAAAATAAATCAAAGTTAAATTAAGAAATAGATAAATTAAAATAAATAATGACAATATAATCATTGTACGAATGTCACAATTCACCTGAATAATTATATGCGGAAGATTCTTAAGAAACACATCGCACAGTCCGGCAATCATGGTGGCTTTAGATGTAGAATTTTCCAAATAATCTTTAATTTCAGTCATTTTCTTCCTAATTTCATTCGATCTCTTTTCTTCATCCGATTCTACTTTTTCTTTATTCGCTTCCGCACTTCGTTTATCCAAATTCGCATTTTCCTCATCAATTATCACAGTTTCTAAATCCGTTGTCACAGTTTCACCATTCGATTCAGCATCTTCTTCACTTGATTCCGCACCTTCTTCCTTCGATTCTACGCTTATTTCATTCGATTCCACCTTTTCTTCATTATCTATCATTTTGTTTGTTGCTGCTTCAACATCTTTCCTTGCTTGCGCCATGAATTCATTTAATGTTTTAATCTTCGCATCTAATGTCGAATCTGTTATCTCCTTCACGATACTCATAGCATCCTTGTCAATTACAGAAAAAATCATTGTAAAGGAGATAAGGTTTGAATTATCTTTGATAAGGCCGTCTATAAACTTTTCAATTTCATCTTTCTTCTTAATAATATCTCCTTTGTGATTTTTGATCAGATTTACGCCTTCTTCTTTCCCTACCTCTACCAGATATTTAATCAATTCCTTTCTTCCTTTTACGAACAACATGATAACTATTATGACATTTACACCTATCGTGATGACAACAGATGCTATGCTTGTAGTTTTTTGCATTATTTCGAAAAAGAAAAATTTTTAAGAAAAAAGAAGGAAAAAAATTCAATATTATTTTGTCATCAACGCACTCATGTACATTGTCACGTGATAGATACCTCGGAATGCGAAGCTCCGGTTTATCATTAGAATTATTGGCCAGAAACAAAGTGGAAAGGGTAAAACTAGGGATGAACAATCCAAATCTCGCCATTATTGTGCCTATTATTTTCTGTTAAATTTCAATTAAAATCAATCATTGGACTATTCGTGATGATGTTCAAAAAGAATTTAACGATGAGAAAACGTCCTTACCGTTGAAACACTCGTCACTTTATCTTTTCCGAAAATCTTATCTCCTTCCTCTTTTTTCTCATTTTCATCTCTTTTTCCTTCATTATCATTGGCATCATTTTTATCATCATCATTATTTTCATCTTTTTCACCTTTAATGTTCACCATCCACCACTTCACCACTTTATTCTTAATCTCTTTCGCAGTCTCTTCTAGCTTAGTCACGTCGATTAGTTTGTCCAAATAATAAGTTAGTGCCGCTACTGCCATGTAAAAGACATAAGGTGCAATTATGGCAATTATTAGATTCTTGTCTTGCTCCCATAGATTGTCTGCGTTATAAAAAAAAGTTAGTTGCCCATTTTTCGAATTTAATCATCGCAACGCAATCACTAGACGCACATTGGAGCCTAAAACCATAGGCCGGATCTAAATCTCTTGTATAATTGCCTAGTGAGATGGTGGTGATCTTCTTGTTTATTATCATGTCGTTTAAATTCGACACTACGCCCGGAACAGTTATCTCTTCATTATTAATTGTCATGTTTATACGGAGGGCGACAATAATTTGATCACTGGAATTGATAAACTGGAACCTTTTATTTGAAGTAAGACGAGCGCGCCTTACCGGCAACGCATCGGAAAGTTGTGTTAGCAGACCATCAATGTATTCTGATTTCTCCAAGCTAGAAAGAGAATTGAATTTTTCCGTGGCATCAGGTACGAGACAAAGGGTGCCAAAAGCGGCCTCAACTAGAAATGAAGCAATTTTGTTATTAGATGGAAGGATTTAAATTGAAGAATCTCAAGTAGATGATATATTAATTCATGAGTATACTTGATTTTTTCGCCGTAACATCTAAATGAATTAAAGTCGGTGAATGCATAATGTTATAATGGTGGTGACATTAAAAAAAAGTTCAGACGAAATGCGTATTGATATTACATGAAGTAATGGTCCACTTATTATTAGGTATTCCTAAAAGAGGCTCGCCATACTTCTTACTCTTGACAAAGTTATTATCCATCTTCACGAAGTATGTCGTGTTATATAAGTTAAATGTGCTACCAAAGATTTTTAATGTGACCGTCAAACCATCTTGACTGATGTCACAGTATTCATCCATCATTGCTGATATTCTTAGTCGAAAATTATTGCCGGTTTCGGAGTATTGATATATGGTGACATTGCCGGAAGAAAGAATAACGGGATCGTAGAAGGTGATGCTGATATTTGACGGGGTTGAAGAAATGGTTGCATTAAGAGGTGGAAGTGTATTGTTTACCACGACGCTGCCATAACCATGATCTAATAACATGACGAAATTATTACAAAACTTAGGGCGAGACTCTATTCAATATAAATATAATAATACCTAAACCCTTTAGAAAATTTGGCAACTGATATGTGAACAAGGACCAGTTAGCGTACGAATGTGGAGTTGGTGGTTGAGAAAGTACGTAAGTATTGTTATTATTCATGATTCCCCTGGCATAGAATTCATCCGTAGGAATAGGTATCGGCAAATTGGTCAAAGGGTAGAACGCATCATTGTTATCATAAACGGTAACATATGTCCCGTTAGTATCAGGATATTCCAATATAAAACCACCATAAACCATTGATTCCACTGCCCAGCTTGCCGCCTGCGCTCCAGGCAGCGATTGAATTTCCGTTATTAAAGAAGAATTTAACACAGATCCCGTCGATAAAAAGTAAACTTGCAAGTAATTAGTCGTGATGTTCGTGAGAGTTGTGCCGTTGGTAGAAGTTACAATGTTTGTTGAACTCGCGGGACACGTACAAACATGGCCAACTCCAACAGACATTAGGCCACAATAAATTTGTCCAAAAGTCACGTTGAGAGATGTTCGATAGAGAAGATACATGACACTAATGCTTTGATTGTAGGGTATAAAAGTAGCATATATCCCGCCACGTGTCGTCAATAAAGGATCAGAGGGATCATAATTTGAAGAGTTGGCGTAAATAATGGCATATCCTCCATCAATGGTGGACATCGTGGTGAGTGAACTTGATGATGTTTGTAGCGGAACTGGTATGCTGCCGTTTACCAATAACGTCATATTTCCATAATCATCTCTACATTGTCGTTAAAATAGTTTGTTATTTAAAAAGAGGAATACAAAATATCAATATGGTAATGTAAAAATAGGATCTTTACACCAAATATTGCTGATAGCCATATTCTTGCGATTGATTATTGTCGCTTTGTCTTATTGCAAACGCTCTGAGAAAACCCTGATTCGTGTTTATATTTTGAGTAATCGAACTTTGCGGATCCCAATTATTATCTGAGGAAACATAAGAAGGACCAAAATTCATTCGGCTGGATAATTTAATCAATCATGTTAATCTGTTAATCCGTAGTTAAAAAACTTGTAATCTTTACGAGTGTTATACGTAATGACTTACCTTTTAAGCGACCCAGACCAATCAATGATGCCCCCCCACTCCTGGTAAGAGTAGGGGTTCGAGTAATCTTGAGGAGTCGTATAGCACACCAGGATAAATTGATCTCCTATGGGGTAAATTCCAATAGGATTATTGTTAATTGTGCTGTTGTCTGTTTTATTCATTACAGGACAGTAGTTAATGGGATCTAGTTGTAAATCCACGTTTATTTCGGTAACGCTTCCATTTAAGTGAATTACTCTTAGAAATAATTTTTTCTCGGTACAATATGTATTATTCACTTCGGTTGCGTTAATTCTGTAAATGCGAAGAAGGATGGTTCCGTCTTCATACGTTCCAATTTGTGATATGTGAGGTGGCGAACCGGGAAGAGTGGTTTCCGATAGATTCTCAACATAGGTAAAATTTGAATTTGTTGGAACCACAAGCAAATAAAGTGACACCAATAATAGAATATTGTACAATGATTTCATCACTAACAATTAAAATCCGCGTTGTGTGTGAGAGGCGAAACTAACGAACATTTACTTTCTTTTTCTAATGATTTTTCATTTATATATATATATATTTATTTATTTATTTCGTACCCTTTTAAGGTTCCCTTATTGGTAATTGATAATTACGTATTTTTGAAAAAGACAAAAATCTTATAATCGATGAACAATACATATCCAATTATAAAGTCAGAAAAATCCCAAATGTGAACAGTTGAAGTATTACACTGCACGCAGAATACTCCGAAATGGGACCTCGTTGTTTATTTATGAGGATGGAATACATTCATAAAATGAATATAATCGAGTAAATCGACACCATTGTCTCATAATAACCAATAAGGATATATACCAATAGCTTAATCTCAGCAAAACTTCTGTGTGCATTAAGGGTTTTTCTTGCAATAAAAACCTTATTGAAGTTTGCTCAATACCTTTGTCATTTTCACATAAAATGAATAGTCGTTACGGAAAGTAATGTCCGACTTTATGTGGTGACTGCACATATCATTACGCGAACGTTCTCGATCTTCAAAACATTCCAACCCTAAGCTAAGTTACGCATGAAATTATGTAACTTAATATGTTGTTACGTATATCATATCGTGATACGATTCAGAATTGAAATTTTGTTTACTGATTAAAAAAAGAATGCTTTTTATAACACAGTAACGTATTAATTTTTGACTTTAGTTAATTATTTACTATAAAACGTGATATTCTTATAAAATTTGATTATTAAATGATAATATTGAATGAATTTTAATTTCAATTTTATAAAATTATACTTTGAAACTTTTTTGTATAGTAATCAAAGAATTTTTTTAAAAGTAGCATCTATATTTCAAAACATTCGAACTTTCTGAGTCGGGCATTTCAATTTATTTTTGCAATATACAACACTCTTCTATCCTGTATGGACAATCGTTCTAGGTGAGTGGATTTTTCGGAGTCTTATTATTATTGTTCCTAAAATCACTCGTTAGATTTCCCACATCTTTCTTGAGATAGAAACGTTCCTCAAGTGGATCCTTGCAAAAAAGGAAAACATCAATAATGAGATGAAAACGCCATTCAAGTGATCGCAAGATGTACTACAAAGTGATGAATTAAGACGTATGCGTGTGTGTTTTATTATAAATTCCGCAAAATAAAACGATGATATACTGTAAATCAATGAATTTCATATTGCAAACACTGTATACGTATACCGTAATATATACAGTATATATATTTTTAAATCGGTACTAATTTTGTGTATAAAGATGCGGAATGATTTTATATCATAATACAGCAATTTTAACAGTTGATAAATTGCTTTCAACTTTACGACAAAAGTTTACCATCGAATGCAATAAGATCTGACGTTTTATTTTTCATATGGACACATGAAATCAGTATTTGATTTCGTTTCACTTTAAACAAATCATCGTCCCTATTTTTACGGTTTTAATTACTTAGGTTTTCTCCAGGATCAATTCAATACACGTATTGCAAAAATTATAATGTGATAGTTTATTTATAAATATGCTGTAAATCTGTTTCTGCTTTTGATTTGAGTAACAATGCATCTTACGTACGTATGTGTAATTTCCAAATTCTATTGTTCATATACAAATATGGTTTCTGTCATAAGCGTGCGAGCCAATCGTCTTTTAAATTATTGTATTTAGGTTGTGATAGATTTTTTTCTTTTTCTTTTTTCTTTTGTATTTACGTAATGTACGTATGCATCGTATGATCAATTATTACGGTACACGGATCCTATGGATTGTACTACTGGAATATCTTAGTTTCATAAAAGATTTATCAATTCAATTGATGATAATTTCCTGTTTTCACTGATTAAAAGATTAATAAAATTTCTTCCCATCTTTCGTAATGCAGTGTCTATTTAGAAATTCTACATTTAATTATATGGGATGTTTTCGAATTCCCTACGGTTCACTCTAAAAAGGATTGCGAACCAAACGATCGATTTAATTGATAGTCAAGAGTATCAATCATGTCTTTCTCTTATGAATATTTTATTAATATATTGCAATTTTGTGATGATTCCGATTGTACTTCATTGTAAAACATTCCTATCATCCTTTCATCGGAATTATCGGTACATTCTGTAATCATCCACTGCGCAACAACTTTTTATAGCGGTTAATAGTTGAAATTAAATTATGCACCAAATTCATATCAATTGTGATTACACGTTTACAAATAAAACTATTTTGTCTTTCATCTAGCACATGAAAGTAATTATTGACACTGCATTTTAGTATTATAACTTTTTTATGATAATTATTTTATAGATTTTTGAAGCTTATATTATTTAATTATTAATAATTTATAATTATCAAAATTAATTAATTCCAATAATTTATTTTATAATTATCAAAATTAATTCCAATAATTTATTTCATAATTATCTTTTCTTCTATATTTTTATTTTATTTTTATATTTTTATATTTTTATATTTTTTTATTTTTATTTTCATTTTTTCCATTTCATCTTTCTATTAATTTTATTTTATTTCTTTCTTTTTTTTCTATTTATCTCTTTTATTATTTTTTATTTCATTCTTTATACAGTATATATCATAATATATTAAATATTTTAACAATAAGAAATATAATTGGATTATTATTGAATTTTAAAAGTGTAAAATGTCAAACATGACATAAAAAATAAACAAATACATATAATAAAATTTATTAAAATATTATATTATAAAAATTTTGTGAAACTCCATGATTTTAATAATAGCAGCTAATTAATACAATTATAAGATTAAAATTTATACATTATAATAATGGTTATAAGTTTTATAAGAATTATATTTAATACTATAAGAAAAATAAATTTTTAAAAAAATTATAATTGATTTTAATTTATTTAAAGGCAAAACGCATTTTTATTCTCTTAAATTTTTATTATCTGCAATATTAAAAAAATAATAATAAATAAAAAATTACATTTGATATTTTTAATATCATTAAATTATTTATAACATTTAATTTGTTAAGGTGATATTAAACTTTTATTACAATTTAATAATTATTATTTAATCATATATAACATAAATAAAAATAAAGTTATTATATTTTTATTATATCTGTATAATAAGATAAATTTTAAGCAAATATGATTATAATAAAATTATAAGTTTTGTTGATAATTAAAAAAAAATTGTATTTTAATATTTATTTAAAATTAAAAAATATTTATATACTGTATATATAATTTTACTATAAGAATTTTTAATAATATAATTATAATTTTATTGATTAAAAATATTTTTAAAAAACTTTAAACAAAATTGTATTCAAAAGTTTTTAAATCAAAACAAATAAATTAATTAAAAAATTTTTTTTCATTAAATTAAAAAATAATATGTATTTTTCTTAGAAATATATTTTAATAAAAACAATTTCCAATTGAATACTATTTTTTTATAAACACTTATTTTTTAATCAAAAATGCACTTTTTTACGGATAATTTTTTCTTAAATATTTTTTGAAGCAATTTTAAAAGAAATAAAAAAAAAAATAAATAAATAAAGATATGAGTTATTTGAAAAATAACAAAGCAATATATTATAACAAAATCAATATTAACAAAAACATTCTAACTAAAAGTAATGCAATATTGTTATACAAATATAGATATATATATATATATATAAACTTTAGAAAAAAATTAAAAGAAAACCAAAAAAAACCTATATTAGAAAATTTAAAAATAAACAATATTATTTAGACAATAATCAAACTACTAATTTAAATTTTAAAATCAAAATAAGTAACAAAATAGTAAAATAAAGTTATTATAAAGTAAATAAATAAAAAAAACAATTTCTTTGAATATTTCAAATAATAACAATTTATCAAGCCAAAGTATTTTGATATTTTAACAAAAGAATAATAAAAAAACCTTAGAGTATACATTCAAAATAAAAAATTTATAATTAAAATAAATAGCTTTTATATCTTTTAAATCAGAAAAGAAATGAGTATTATGGTGTAAAATATTTCTCTTAATATCAAATTTATAGAAGTATAATAAACTTTTGTAAATATAAAGAGTTCATTATTATCTTCAAGTCAATATAACAAACATAACAATTAACAATCTTTAT